TGATAGGAACCAGACGTCTGAAGAATTTAACGGCTCTAAAAGCTACCCCATAGGACGATTTTACATGAAATGGTTATGAATATGCTGCCTGATGTCTAAGTCATTGTTTTCCGAGAGTTTTGAGATCAGGTTGTGTTGATCAAAATGGCGGAGAGGTACATGCAGAGTGTTGTAAGGCAAAACAGTCCCCAAAGAAAACTTTTTTTTTTTCAGATTTACCACTATTTTACTATTATCAACACAGTAAAATAAGTATCTGTCAACTGGCCTCTAATGCATTTTGTGGAATATGTGGAGCAGTGATAGAAAGATGAGAATAAAGTTAGAACAGACAGAGGGCTGGAGAGGATGAAAGCAATGACAGAATGAAAGAATGAGAATGAGTGGAAGATCTTTTGCAGGATTGCCTGTTAAACCTATTAACCCTTGTATAGTGTTGATGTGTTTGTTACTCAGTGGTCTGGTGGACCCACCACATTATTGTTTTTAAATCAGTACAGCCATAAAAATGTATATAAAAATAAATTAAAAATATCACAAGTGTCCAGTGTAGGGTTCTCCTTTAGCAGCTGTAGCCAGTCAGCAGCCTGTCCATGTTGTCCACCCTCACACACACACACACTCACACACACTCACACACACACACACACACACACACACACACTAACAGCAGGCCATGTAGGAGGAGAACAGAGTGAAGGACACAGCACCTCTACACTTTTACTCCCCGCGGGTTCAGCCCAACACCACATGTGCAATATAAATGTGTGGGGGGTGAACAGAGTGAAGACACTGAAAATGGGTTATTTTATATGTTCTTCACAGAAAATGAGCAAAGGCAAAGAAATCTGAGGTTGAAATAATAATAAATTACATCATTTTTTTCTTTTGGTAAACATTGAAAACGGGTCCCACAGACCTGAACACCACATAAGGGTTAATACAGTTTTGTGAATCCGGGCCGTTGGACTCTTTAAGTATTAAAGAAAATATAAAAAGTCATCGGTTCACCATGACCTACCCCGTTTTTTTTTCTGTTTTTTGTGCATTTTTTATAGTTTTATTCTTTTCTTATATTGTATTCACTTATGTGCAAACGTTTGCATGCCACTAGACAAATTGTGTGTTTCTGAATTTCATAGTGAAAATAAGTAACACATCCTCTACAGGGAACACACTTGTGCACAATTTCATATTTATTTACTGAATTTAACGGGTGAAAAAATAAAACATACAATATGGCCTATGCAAAAGTTAAGGCACATTTTACATTTCACGCCTTATTTTTTATTATTTTATTACAGTCTGTTAAACTCAGCAAATGTCACATTTAAGCTTGTTCTCTTTAGAGGATGCGTTAACTTATCAACAACTTTGACCAGGAGTGTTGAGTACGTATGTATATTTTGGTTTTATTCCATTTATCTAGCCTGTATTGTGTCATTTAGGTCTTAAAATATAAAAACTATTCTATTCAACAGCCATCCCCAGAGAGGTCAGTGAATTAAGTTAATGTAGGAGTCCTGAGACAACACACACACACACACACACACACACACACACACACACAGCAAACTCACTCCCTGCCTGACTCAGTATCATCACAGGAAGCTTGTTGTTGTGTTTTTGTGTAATGACATCACATTCCTCTCAGTATCTTACACACACACACACACACACACACACACACACACACACACACACACACATTTGTTTCTCTGAATTGTGGGGGCATTACATAGACCTCCATTCATTTTCTGGACTTACCCAAACTTTAACCATAACTACTGCTAGCCTTAACCAAACCTTTATCCCAAACCCAACCCTAACCTTATGATTAAGACTGTGGGGACCAGTTTGTAGTCCCCACAATGTAGCATAAACATGGTACACACACACACACACACACACACACACACACACACACACACACACCAGTGGGCGTTAGATTAAAGGTTTTGTGTTGTGTTGCTGACTTATAGCACTAAGTAGGAAGTGATGTCACGGAGAAGGACTTTCTTTTACACAACGCACTGCTAAAATGATATTTCAGCATATTAAATCATCACTCATCTAGTGATTATAGATTTGATAGAGACAAATCTAGTGATTCTCTTAATGAGATATGAAAACATAATATTAAATATTTGACCTATTTCTAAGTTTTGTATTTGTTTGAAATGTTTTATTCTATTAGCTGTTTATTTTGCATATTTCTAGAAACATTGTTTGAAACAGGCAAAATGATCTTCCAGTAGAGTGATATCCCCAGATAAAATGAACTAATTTTTTTAAGCCAACTGTGTCTGAACACATCGGAGTTAGACCGCCGCATTTAACCCATCCATGCAGTGAAACACCACATACACACTAGTGAACACACACACACACTAGGGGGCAGTGAGCACACTTGCCTGGAGCAGCGGGCAGCCCTATCCACAGCACCTGGGGAGCAGTTGGGGGTTAGGTGCCTTGCTCAAAGGCACTTCAGTCACATAGTGTCAGCTGAGGGGATCAAACCAGTGCCCTTCCGGTCACAAGGCTGGTTCTCTAACCTCCAGCCCACGACTGCCCCCAACAAATAAAATCATCTATGAATACCTTAAATAATCTCATAATATTAATGAGAAATGTTACAATGTATTGACTAGATTTATGATTTTACATGCTCACATTATTAATCAGTCTAGATTTTCTTCTCTTCCCATCTGCCACTTCATTAGTCAACCCCCCCGATATACACACACACACACACACACACGCACACACACACACACACACACACACACACACACACACTCTCTCTCTCTGCCCAAGGCCTTTAATGTCCCTGCACTGAAATAACATTAGTTGAAACCTGTTGCGTGTGTGTGTGTATGTGTGTGTGTGTGTGTGTTTAAGTGCCCACATGAGCAGGAGAGAAACAGGGCTGTGGACACAAGAACACGCCAGACAAAGCAAACGTGCAAACAAAAGCATCAGCACTGATGAAGTGAGCACTGCTTTAGTCATGCTTTAATGCGGGGAAACAGAAGAATCCAGCACAAGCCAAGTCATCCTGACTGTGCTAACCATGAGAACTTACAGAAGCCAGACTCTCCAGGCATTCACACGAGTGCTAATACACAGTCTGAACAGCTCTGCTCAAATGACGTTTTGCTGATTTTCTAAGCAAAGATGAGTTAACACATCCTCTACACAGAACACAATTAAATATGACACTCAGTAAATTTCAGTACATAAACTCTACTCATTCACTAAGTTCAACATATTGCAAAAGAAATAAAACAGACAGAGATTAAGTGCCATAACTTTTGCACAGGCCACATCATATGTTTTATGTTAAATTTGGCACATGAACAGTACTTGAGCATTAAAATGTGCATGATCTGTAGGGGATGTGTGACATTTCACTTAGAAAATCAACTAAACTTGCAGTTTGACCAGGGGCACCCAAACTTTTGCACACAGGGTATAATTTATGATATTACATGATTTTATATTACTGAAAACACTGATTCTAAACTTGATAACACGGATTCTGAACAGCACTGCAAATGTAACTGTGCTTCTGCATGAACAGTTTAGTGTCTGAATGGAGTCTAATAGATTTAACATTTCGCTGTTGTCAGAAAGAAACTTTGTACCTTCAAAATGGAAACTTTACAGGAGAAGGAAAGAAACTACTTTACTTATAATGTAAGTCTATGGAACCAGACTTTTTTCAAAGTCATTTTGGGCCGTTTATTTCAGTCCATTCATCATAATATTTACACACACTGTAAAGAATAACAGGTCTTTTCAAATTATGTCAAAAACTGAAAAACATCAAAAATGGAGATACAAGGTTTTCTTCCGACAACAGCGATAAGCAGGTCTGCAACAAGCCATGTGTGATTTGGGACTCGACACACAAGCTTAAGCGTTTGCAAAGCTTTTGTGAGCAATTCTTAATACCGCTCGCTCAGTGACATCAAGTGAACAGCACTCACTTCAATAGCCGCCCTGAAAAAGACCCACTGAAATTGCAGACAGACACTGATGAGGAATGAAAACAGACAGCATCTCTCTTCAATTCGTCATTTATTTGTAAGACACCACCGTCCAGTCTACAGAATAAATCCTTTTAACATTTTACAGCCTTTAGAATTCCAGCTCCTCTTAGGTTTAAAAATATATATTTTCTTACTATCAGACATTCTACATATCTTTATGTACAGTTGCATCCCACACAAATAAAACAGTTTCTTCTTTTTTTTCCTCGGGTTTTCTTCTGTGTTCCAGTTTTAGAGGAGTGTGTGTGTGTGTGTGTGTGTGTGTGTGTGTTTGCACGCGCATGTATGCAGGGATTTGGCACAAAATCAGTTATGTTTGATCAGTAAGGTGGAGAAACGGCACACGATCACAGCTACAGTGAAGGAGAGTTCAGTACCGTTAAGAGAAGGTATCACATGGAACTATGTACACAACACGCTCGTTTCCTTTCACACTCACACAGACGCACACGCTCGCTTTTTCACACTCACACAGACACACAAATATGCTCAACATCTGCTTCCCTCCTTTGGGATGTGCTAAACAGAAGGCTGTTTTGGAGCAGGCAATAAAAGCGCTAAAGGACGTCTCTGCCTGGCCAACGTAATTTCTGCATAGTCGAGCTGAAGCCTCTGCTAATACACAGTGATCATAAATCTGTAGTGTAGTAACGTTCAAAAATAAAATTCAAAACTTTAGAATCTCGTCATGATAACTAGATTTAATTATTATCAATGTTTCAAGCATTTCAGGAACAAGTAAAAGTTTAATATACCGTTTGTATGCAGACATTTAAACATCCCTGGTCAAATGATATGTTTTGTTGATTTTTTTTAAATGGAAAAAAAAAAAAAGTTAATATGTACTCTTCAGGGAACAAACTTAAATGGTGTTTTCTGCACATTTTAGCACACAATTTCTATTTACTTGCATATTAGAAAATGAAATATTAAGTGTGCCATAACTTCTGCACAGGCAACATCATCTTTCCCACTTTGTTAAATTCAGTAAATAAACAGTAAAGTGTTTGTTAAAACATTATATATAATATTCCCTGTACTGGATGTGTTCTTATTTTCACAAAGAAAATGAATAATACATGTCATTTGACCAGGCATCTTTTTTCTGGTCATGTTATCTGCCTTGAGATGTGGTCACCACTTAAATACGAGGAAATCCGGATATTCATTTGACTTTCTTCATTTTAACTTTTTTCCTGATGCTACAACTTTCTTAGTTATTTTGGAATCATGCTTTCATCATCTGTTCATCATTCTAAAGGTTCTTATTGTTCTTTAAAGCTGGAACTTGCTGTTTAAAAGCTATATTTAAACAAGAGGATTACAGTTGTGGAGCCATAGCAACAGCATGTGAGCTGCTGGGCTTCAGGCTGCATCTATGAATGGATGGGAAGTCAAACTAAGAAAATATAAGTGTTTTACTATAATCAGGAATCAGCAATCAGCTGTCAAATGACGTTGCACTAGCGGCAGTTCGAAAAGATGCGGTGGCTGGCTTCACATGACTCTGAGGAAGTATATCACTGTTGTCGGAAGAAAACCCCAAATCTCCAAAATGGCAACTTTACAGGAGAAGGAAAAAAACATACTTTACTTTTAATGTAAGTCAATGGAACCAGACTTTTTTTCCAAGTCATTTTGGGTCAATTCTTTCAGTCCATCCGTCATAGAATTCACCAACGTTGTAAAGGGTAACAGGTATTTTCAAATTATGTCAAAAACTGAAAAACGTCAAAAATGGAGATACGAGGTTTTCTTCCGACAACAGCCATATGCTAGCCGTCTTCCTCCTAGCGCTGCTAGCATCTTTAGGGGACACCTAGCTGGTGGATGAAATTGGACATGACTAAATTGGGAGAAAAGAAAATGTGTTAACCGTGCTGATGCTTCATTAAAATGTTATCCTTTACATACTTCTTACTAATTTTTTGAGACCTAATTGTTTTAACCCTGGTCCAAAGGGGAAGCATTTCACAAGCATTTTATATGTTTCTACACAATCTGGTTTTATATGACTGAAAACACTGATTTCAAACTTTTGAAGGGTATTGTATCAGTTAAGAGGTAAGAAAAAAAAACAAAAACAAAAACACCAGAACGTCTGTCTGATGAGAAAGGGGCAACAAACCAACAAGGGAATCTTTACCTGTGTGCACAAACAGCTAAGGGGCGTCTAGGTGGCTCCTTATACATAAAACTCTAGTCAAAGCATCAAGTGGGTCACAGCTTGGAGTGCCCGGAGGGATGGGGTTCCACCAGGAAAAAGAACACTGAGAACCTATTCAATTCCAAAGGAAAGAGGAATGGGGGTAATAAGGGCTGTCCCCCCGAGGCAACGTCAGGTTAAGTGCCTTGCGCAGAAGAAAACGGAGCCCAAAGAGCTGAGGAGCACTTCTAGCAAAAACTGAACCACCAAGTCCTCCAACAGGTTGACCAACCACTGAGCTGCCAGCTGCTATCCTGGTGGCATAAAGCTATCCAGAAGCTTGAAACGCACACTCTGTGCTCCATGGATTCAAAATCAAAGACATATTCTGATGATTACAGTTACAATGAGTAATATTTTCACAAGTCTGACATTTTTGGCATTTCTGGAAAAGTAACTTCTGGTGATATCCTTCCACTGCATCTTCATATGTTTTTACCCAGCTGCCATACTGCTATGAGTTTTGTCTTCACAAAAAGACTTTCTAATTTATTGCCCTCACGCCATAATCAGTATCATCACTGTCCAAAAAAAACCAAACAAAAAAAAAATACTAAATGAAAATTAACTTTACAAATAAAGGACAATCATTCCTAACCTAATATAGATTAAATGTAAAGTGAATTCATTCCAAGTCATTTTGGAGCATTTCTATTGGTCCTTTCACCGTGAAATGTTCACATAACGTAAAGAACAGCTCCTGCGTTCAAATGATGTAGAAAAACAAAACTGAAAAAAAAAATATATATGATGTATGTTTTTTTTTTTTTGGACAGCTGCGATTTACTTATGAAGAACTTTAAAGGAAAGATTTAAATGAAAAACTGTACTCACTGTAACTTTAACCACTAAATAAGGTCCAAAAAGACAACAGATCTACATTGTAAAGTATGTTGATTGTGCTATGGTGCAAACGGAGACGCGCGGTTTGATGTGTACCAACTGACTATGTGTATCGCAATGCAAAGCCCTCTCTGACAACATGCTCAGTGCACTGTGTCTCAGTGGGTTTAGAAACTCAGAAATGTAGTTATCTCACACACACACACACACACACACACACACGCACATATATCATGGTTCAAGCCACGAATCAGGAATGATAAACACCACCACAAGTCTTGGTAGTGCTTCTCCATTATGAACATGATTTAACAAAAAACACATGAGAATCTATGTAGCGCAATATCAAAATCACGTGGAATGTTGATCTTTGCCCTATAAACTACCTTACTAAACTCAGTGCGTCTCAGCCCTTCATTTATAAGCTTATGCAAGACACAGTCTCTGTTTCATACTAATATGTCCATTTCTTAGACCTCAATCAACGAGGCCTTCTGTTTTTCTCTGCGTTCCTTCTGAGCCTAGAGACTGTCCTCTCAAACACACATGATGAGTAGTGATAGCCCTCTTTGACAAATGCCCTTCACATTTTCAATGGAATATATTGTGCGCTTGTTCTTAACTTTCCTATTAATAAAGGCTTTATTAACCCCTTTACAGGGCCGGTAGCAGCCATTGTGTTACTGGCTCTGGAAGCTGTCTATTAAAACCATATTCATAACCACTGCCATCACAGTAAGACAAAAACAGATGTTAGCATAAAAAGGTACCTTCTGTAGACAGTACCACCTTTATGGTAATGCCAAGAATGCTTAAAGCAGAGGAAACGTCATATGAGTGAAATAGTTACAAGTTACTTGTGAAAGTACTTCCACTGATTTGTCAACAAGTCTGCATAATTAAACAGTTAAGATGTAAACAAAGAGTGGTTTGATGTGAAACGCGAGTCAGAATTGTCCAGAGTGGTGGTGATGGGAACCAGACGTCTGAACCATTTCATCTCCCTATATCACAAAAAGTTATTATAAGAAATGTTTATGGCCACAATGCCTGAAGCCTGAGACAGTGCTAGCTTTGAGATAAGCTTTTGGCCTAAAACCTATTTTTTTAATCCGTTCATGGAAGAGAGGTATATACAGAGAGCTGTAAGGCAAAATAGTCCCCAAAGAAAACTTATTTTTTCAGATTTACCGCTATTTTACCATCATCAGCATTAAATATAAAAATGCAAAAGATGGGTGTTGGTTCACTGGCTATATTTGGTCACAGACATTGTGACCCCTGGTTCCCATCACCACCACTGTATAGAAATTGTGAGCCAGTACCTTTTTTCTGCAATTAACTCTTTCACATCAAACCAATCTAAATGTCTTTGTTTACATCTCAGCCATGAAATGAAGCAGAAATTTTGAAAAACTGGGGGAATTCCCCTTCAAGTAGCAAATGTAAAACTTCTAGACTAAACCAGAGATCCAGAGTTACATGTGTCAGACTGCATGAAGAACACAGGTTCCCAACCCTGGTCCTAGAGAGTACCACCCTGTGTCCCAACCCTGGTCCTAGAAAGTACCACCCTGTGTCCCAACTCTGGTCCTAGAGAGTACCATCCTTTATTATCTTCCCTGCTCCCAAAACACCCTCTTCGAATGGTGAAGGGCTTGTTAAAGAGCTTATTATTGCATCAGGTGTCCTGGGAACAAGGGAACCACTAAAACACAGGGCAAGGGTACTCCACAACCACTGCAGCAGAGCATCCTTTCATAAGCGTTTGCCTTTCATATCTCTGGGAACCTCAATATACAGACAAAAGTGGATTGGTACTCTTTTCCTGAGCCTCTTGACAGATATAAGCCCAGGAGGAAAGCGGAACCTAGTCAGAATGACTCATCTTTACGCAGGTTTAAACCAGTAGGATGAGCCAGACTTCAAATTATACCAAAAGACTGTGACTGAACTGCTTTTAACCAGTTTTACATCGCACTCTGGAGTGGCTAGCAACAGCCCTGCAAAATACAGCCAGTGGTCTTCAATGGCAGTTAGGTAACAACAGTGTTACGTAAGGAAAAGGCAAGATAAAGTGAGAGCAACAAGCTTCAGCCTTGAGTCTTGGCTCTGTAGGAGGATCACTGTGAGTTTAACAGTAACTTCAAAAGGATGCAGGTTTTTCTTCCTTGAACAGTCGACCACTGATGTAAGGCAAGAAGGGCTGTGCTGACCTCAGACGAGTCTGCTCCAGTAATTTCTGAGTATCTGCGTGGCCTGGTGACCGCCATACGCTTTCAGCTAAGGACTAGATGCAGGCATTAGTCCACTTTTCTTCAGAAGGGTCAATCAAGGCTTGATATCAGAAAAATATGAGCTAGGTCCAGTAAGACCTGATAGGCCCTGTAGTTTAAAAGTGGTAAAGACTGGCTAAAGGTATTGAATGTTTTTGGGTTAATTCCTAGTTTGCTAATTGAACTTATTGCAACCACACACCCACACCCACACACACACACACATTTGTTGTTGTAGTGCATAACAGTCAGCAAAACACATTCACACGTTCATGTCCATGTAGTGTGTATGAAATCACACCATACTCACTAACCACACTTATTCTGTACCTCAAAGTGAAGGGCAACACAACACCTACAGTACGAAGTGGCTACAGACCAGTCTGAAGTAGACCGTGGTAATTAGACCATATGCTTTGGGAGAACACGAAGTTAAGGAGCAGAACAGAGGTGCAGTTCACAAAGTAGGATTTCGCAATTGAGAAAACCAAAAGTGAGGAGTGTCTAACAGGGCTTCACAACATATTGTTCATTAATAATTATTGCAACATTGGGCTTTGCAATACTAATATCATAACCGTGCAATATACAGATCAGTCTTTAACCAATCACTGAATGTTTTATTGTGTGCATCACATATGTTTTTTGGGTGTTTGGATAAATCAAGGCTAAGGATGTAACTTCTTTTGACCAATAAATGACCATCATTATTCAGTAATTAATCATTAAGCCTAAAATCTTCTTCTGAAATCTGACTGGCTGAGGATTGTTCAAATACATATACACAGTTAGATTCTGTCATCACTTGAGGATGCTTTTGATATGGTACAGCACTGTAGTTGTGCCATCATCCTCTCCAAAATGTGGTCATTTTTTAGTAGGCCTGTCTGGCAGAACAATTTGAAAACATTCTGCATTCAATTCAAATTCGCCTATTCAAACAGGAACTGTTGGTTATTGAAAATGAAATAAAATGTATGTTTTTTTAACCAACTGCACCGGCCGAACAACAGTCTACTTGTTGGTTAATCAGTTAGTCATTTACATCCCTAATCAAGGGCCATTAACTTTGGTCAAAAAAATCCAAGCCAATCCTCAATGACATCAAGAGTTCACTGATGTGTTTTAAATACACTGGAAGCTATATTGCAATATAACCGCAACACAGTATTTTATTTATATTGTGCACCCCAGAATACTGAAGTACTGCCTTATTTCCCCCTCTTCATACACACTTTACATTGTTAGAGTCAATTAATTAATTAGCGTCATTAATTTACTCGGGTAATTTTTGACTCCTTTTTCGTTGCAGTTGTAATATTTATTGTAAAAAACTAAAATATCTCATCCTCCTATTTTTTCTCAGTATTGTTCAGTCTTTGTGTCTAAGTGGATATAAGTGGAGGTAATAAGGTGCATTCCTATTGAACAATCTTCACTTTTGGCTTAAGCTATCCAACTCAATGGTAAGTCCTCCTTTGTGAAATATCCCTCGGCTCTGAACAACAGAACACACACATACAACACATAAAAGAATAAATTAAAACATTCTGTTCATACACACATTGGTGCCACATAAAAACCCATAGAAGAGAACCCAAAATCTGGAACAAGAGCTCCAAAAAAAGGACAGAGAGGCCCTGTTTTGGGATTAAGTTACCCAGGAAGAGCCCGTTTACAGGCCATAGCAGTACCAAGATCTTGGAGTGGAGGGTTGAGTTTCCAGACTGGCCACACTGCTTCATGGACACTGCACTGGTTCGTTTCCTTCAAGCTTTCTAAAAGCAGCGCTGAATAAGCTGTCGCTTTGTTGCCTCTGTAGTGTTTTGTTGCTGTCTTCGTTGATGCTTTTGTTTATAAAGTGCCTTCAATATGCAGGTGGACTGACTGATGGTCAGTTTAACAGGAGGATGTTTCCCCACAGAGCAGCAACAACAGAGAGAGGAGAATTCTGGGAAATGTAGTGTTGGCAAAGGTAAGGTTCGAGTGCTATTGGCACAGGTTTCAGTATAAAGAGTCCTGAGTGAGGGAGGGAGGGAGAGGGTGCCAGGGGATGTGGAGATTATGGTGAGTGACTAAACTACACTTTTTCTGTTTCCTTTCTCCCTCTCGACTCTTCATTTCCCCCCTTTGCACTTTCCACTCTCTTTCTCCTCTGTTCCTGTTGTCACTCTCTGGACTGATAGAATAGGATGTATCCTGACTCAGAGTTCTTTGAAATGTCAGAAGTTAAACCATAGAACTCCTCTATTGCCTGTGCATCGATTTTCTGTGTGCGAGGGAGAGAGAGAGAGAGAGAGAGAGAGAGAGAGAGAGAGAGAGAGAGAGACAGAGAGAACAACAAGTTAACACACAAACAGATCTATTCATCATATTCAGTGAAAGCACTATGGATGAGCATTTGGACTGTTTTTGCTATTTAAAACATTCACAAAAACATGTAGTATTCTAATATTTTACATTCTTATGAACAAAAAAACGAAAGAAAGTTCATTCCTTGTTTATAGCGCTTTGCCCCAAGACCTACTTAAGACATTTGTATGGTTTTATGTACTGAGAACATCCATAATTCATTTTTACGTTACCACTTTCCAACCTCTCTCAATTTGCAATAGTTTTCTGTGATATATAAAAATTATTTATATGTTTTTGTAGCTTAGTTTTTTTCATATCTGGACTTTACGGACTGTGGAGTGGATGGTACACTTTAAAACTGAAGCAATGTTTACACGCTACAAAAAAAATCAAAACATTTCAAAACGGTGAGGAAAATGTATTTTTTGTGATATGGGCCCTTTAACACTCTACCAGCTGACACACAAAACAATAACTCGCACAGCTTACACTGTACAAATCTGTCATATTTTGTTTGAGACATTCCATAAACAGAGTTCTGTTTAGATGTAGTCATTGCACTGAAAGTGAGATGCAATATCTGCTCAGTGAAACTTTCAGATGTACCAAACACAAAGGTAATTGATATCTGTATATTAAAATAGTCCCATGTTTGTTCCTGCAAATGTATAATGTTAAATATATAAAAAAGGTAAAGAAGTTTACATATACCTCCACAATGTCATCATCAAAAAGCAGCCAGAAGCCATGACTCTTCACTATGGTTATGTAGTGTCCTCTATTTGGTCCACTGTAATGACACAGATAATGCATTGTCAGGTACAAGAAGAGTGTGCATATGAGTGCATTAGTACAGATTTACAAGAAGTACAGTCTAATTCAAAACAAGGACAAATTAACTGAAAGAAGTGACTAGTAAGCCCACAAATGTCAGTGACAGCATAAAAATTTTCCAGTATGTTTAGGAGCCTCTGTAAGTGTGGGTACTGCATGCATGAGTGTCCAGCCACGCACCTGCCACAGTGCACCACCACAGCGACGAGGTCGTACATGCGGTCCAGGTTGACGGCGTCTCCAGACGTATTGAAGAGCCGCAGCTCGAGGGGGAAGACCACACGGTAGCTCAGCTTAGTGTAGCGGTGCAGCTGCTCCATGTACTTAAAGCGCTTCAGGTGCAGAGCCAAGATCATAGGCAGCTTCTTCACTCGCATACTGGAGACACAACACACATGCTTAGGATTAAGATTCGGATTATTCTCACATACAGTCGTATGCTAATGTTTCAATGCTCTCAGACAAAAAAATGTTAACAACTTTGTACATTTATGATGAAAAACCTAAATATTGATATAATTAATATTACTTTATATTGTATTATAATAGGGTGGCACAGTGGCGCAGTGGGTAGCCCTGTCACCTCACAGCAAGAAGTGCCTGTGTTTGATTCCCCGGCTGGGCGACCCCAGGCAATGACCACTGGGATAGGCTCCAGCGCCCCCCGTGACCCACGAGGATATGCGGTTTAGAAAATGTGTGTGTGAGCATTATAATATACTATCATTTCAATATAATTAATTTGTATAGAAATTTTAATTTCATATTTTTGAGGCAATATACTTAAAGGTAAAAAAGACTTATACATTTTCACTTTGACTGTATTTCTCCAAAACCAAATATATTGTTCTCTGCATAACTCCCCATGATCAAATATTATTAACATTTTGGTCTTGTTCAACTTTTTTAAGAATAAATGGAAAGATGACAATTATTCAATGATAAACCAACTACATCACCTGCCTCAAAGAACTTTCAAAGGCAGTAAATCCAGATATTGTGGTCAACAGTATGAAATCTCAGAATTAATCAGATCAAAGTCTTTCAAGTAAATATGTTCAGATACCATTTAGCCCCATCATTTGATCAAATGATGGGGCTAAAAAATTTACCAGCACGCCCTCACAAATATGTGTGTGGGGGGGGTGCTGGTCAATTTTTAATATATTTATGCATAAAAACTTGAACTCACTGACCGTTTCTGGGCCTCTTGCTTGCTGCAGCAGGTTTCACAGTAGTATTTATATTCACTGCACAGCGTCTCCGTGTTGCTGAAGTCCCTGATAAAACACACACACACACGGATAACAATCACCAAAACAGGGCAACAAGTGATGGTGTAACAATCTTAATTGAGTACTGAATTGCAACTGTTTTGCCGCTGTCTCTTCCAAGACCCTCTTCCTTATCATCTTTCTTAGAAACCAGTGAGAGAGATCAAAACTAGGCATCTGCATACAGCCTATAAGAGTAAACTGTGTGTGTGGGGGTGGGGAGGTGGGATGCTTATGCTATGCACAAAACCATGCAGAAATGATAGGAACTGTTATCTGAAGTGGTTATAAAATCTAGGGGTTGTGGTTTAGGGTCTCATTTTATTAGGACTCACATAAGAGGCAGTGAAGAAGTTCGATTTGAGATTTTGCATTTATCAAACCACCATATAACCAACGCAGCATGCATGTGTTATTAAATGTTCCTAATCCAGAGTGTGTGTGTGTGTGTGTGTGTGTGTGTGTGCATACCTGAGACAGTGTGTTATTGAAGTGTTTTGCTCAACGTCCACAGACAAATCCAAGAAGTCCTCATCTTTACTGCTGACCTGTAACAAGCAGAACCGACAATTCTGGTGAGATTGTGTCCATGCTTGTGCTCTCTTTGGCCAGCCTTGTAAACCTGTTTCAGTAGTTCAAGCATTAGTATCAGCCACAGCCCAGCACAGTAAATTTATACTGATACCGATTATTTGTCAGGTATAAACTTGGTGAAGGGAAACTAGCTGCAGTTAAAAAGCTTATTTTTTGTTACTTTGACTTTTTTTCCCTTGACATTTTTTCCACTTAGGTCACGTAGCATGTGTTGTACTGTGGATATCCTTTTCTTAGGCACATGATGACAATCAGCAACAATAAAGCAAGAAAAATTCCACAGTTTAAACACTGCAAAAGTTACATTTCACCCTATTCAACACTCTATTTCAGAGGTAAGTAAGAGTCAAAGGAACATAAAGGATTAGAGATATAAGTGATTAACTGATTAACCGTTAACCAACAAATAAGTAATTGTTTGACTAATACTAGAGGTTAAACAATGTTCATTTCATTTTATTTCATTTCCAACAAACAACAGTTTCAATTCAACTAAGCAGAATTATATGAGGTCACTTCAACTGGTTCTGCTATGAGCCTCCTAAAAATGAAGCACACAGCTAAAAATAGTGGTGTTCACTTTTTGAGAGGATGACAGCACAACTACAAAGATGTACCATACCAAGTACAAAAAGCTAAAAGCCATCATAAAACACAACTGTCTTGTCTGTCTTTTCTTAGAAAAAGTGTGATGCATGGTGTTAGAAAATCACATACGGATGTGCAAAAATATAGAGAAGGATGCGGTAATTGGCAACAGCTTCTGAGAGATACTGGCTGTCAGCTTTAAACAAAACCAGGTTCTTCTGTAGGGTATGTATAAGACTGACTCTTACTTCATATACACCCTGATGTCTGACCCAATCAGTACTACATTCTACAGTACATACATGGAACACTTTTTAATATCCAGGCTGAATTAGTAGACAATTCAGCTGATTAGCGCTCATAATTGTGTGTATTTTATGTATTTTACAATGTAGCTCAGCCAGCCAGCTTTCAGATCTGGAAGTTTCTGCTTTATAACATATTTTGATGGGTCAGGTCCTTGGTTTTAGGCCTGTTGGTTAACAATGAATCACTGACTAATGATGGCCGGTTGGCAGTCAAAAGAAACTGGCAAATTTGCATCCTTAGAAATTACCTTAGTCTCCCAAGGGTTAAAGAATACAATGAACTACTATCACTCATGTCTTACCAAGCATTTTACTCAGCTCTGCAAAGTCAATTATAAAAACCCAGTTCAAAAAGTAAACGTGATCCATATCTAACCATTTATTTCTCCTCATGTGGCAGCAGTTTTTGGTGTTGCTGCATTTCACTCCTTTTCATGGCCAGAGCAGCCTCTGTTCAGGCTAGGCTGAACTCTGCTGACCAAGTTTTCACACATATAATAAGTGAATAAAGGAGCAGAAAGAGCAGCGGAGAAATAATTGATAAATGCTGTGAGGTATCATGCAGAGAGGGACAGACCCCAATGAACTCAAACTGCCTTAGATACAATGGAAAACTGGGTCAAAGACTGAGAAACATACGAAACCAATGCACTCGTCTCTCCTTTGGCTGGACAAAAAGATTTCATTTGATACTTAAAGACTCATGCAATCTAGAACCCAATCTAGAACCCAATCCTGAAAAAATGGGCATATGTATTTCACATAGTCAAAAACAGAAGCCTGAATTTTGGTCAGTTTTTATATATACTTCAAATGTAATACAGTGTTAGAGACCACAATAGAGTTTATCTGAGATTACTTAACAACCCATGATTTAAGTGTGTAGAGCCTTAGGCGTGCTGTTACACTGTGCTAACTGGAGAGTAAAAGTATCATTACATGTTCATTACATTCTCCAAAACTAAAAAAAGCAAACTTCAGACACCAAATATATCTTGGCTGACATTAAGCAGTAATTGGGAAAAGTACTCTTTTTTCAGCCGAACTAACTAGCAGAAGTAACTTTAACTATTACTGTTAACCTGCAGGCTTATAATTCAGCCATTATGAAAGTGAAAAGTCTGAGAGTGAAAAGTGTGAAACTCCCACCGTCTCACAGTTGAGGCAGCGTGTCTCATTGGTCAGAGTGCCCTGGAAGATATCATGAACCCAGGTGGACTCGGCCTTGTTCTCCGGCTCGGTTTCGGCAGTGACAGCGGTTCCGTTGTTCTTCAGCCGGCCGTTCTGTTTCTCCTGTTTCTTCTCTTCCTGCAGGATGTCAGCCACTGTGTTCAGCAGGTAGTTCAGGAACTCGTGAGCATCCTGCTGCATGTAGTTATCAAAAAGGTCTATGAGGAGAGGCAGAGCACAATGTCAGTAACCGTTGTTGTGGTTTAGCTAGCAGTAATAATTAGTTCCATCTTTGTGATATTGCAGTAGAAGCCAAAATACATGTTTTGTTGATTTTTCAAGTGGAAAAAAGTTAACCCATCCTCTACAGGGGACAACTGCGGGAGTGTTAGTCTGCACGTAGCATATATAGATGGGTGACATATTAAAAGAAAAAAAAAAAAAGAGTAAATGGAGTGGAGCAACATAACGGGTGCAGATGCAGATGTACTTTATGATACACATTCACGCACTTAACATCCTACCACACTCCGTGGCAATTAGATCTGTGGAAAAGACATCAGTAAAGGTCTCTTCGAGGATGATAGCGTCCCCATCAACAGGGCACGAGGGGCCACTGAATGGTCTGATGAGTATGAGAATGAAGTAAATCATAAGCTATGGTCTTCGCATTTTTCATCCATGTGTTGGATATCACTCTCTGCCCACTGAGGGAATATCTTTTGGAATTGTGTTTCATCCCTCCAAGTCTGTGAGAATCTATGCCAAGGCAAACTGAAGCTGTTCTGGCTGTTAGCAGCGGTCCAGCACATTAGCATTACTAAAGCTCTATACAAGTTGGATTAGTTTTACCTAATTGACGAATGCACGAATCTTCAATGTTTAAAGTCTCCTAAGTAATAATTTTGGAGCAAATTACTTTCCATTTGCAGAACCCAGAGCTCCCTCAGTAATAGCAGTCCTGTTCGAATCAACTTCATGGCAATGTAACAACGAAACCCCAGTAACAGACAACAGCACCTCTGTTCGTGGTGACCAGGACACAAAGATAAATACTGAAATAAAGTTTGAGAGTTCTTTTAATCTCAGGTGCAAACCGGGACTGTTAAAATCTAAAAAAGTTTTGGTAATGGCCTAATCAGCAGAAAGAAATTGTGAATGCACCCCTCACAACGCAGTGCGATTTCTGTCTTGTTGGGCAGAATTTGGTAAGTTAAATGGGCTTACTTTACTAGCTTAGTGTTTGTTGGTTGGTTGTTTGGATCCAAGTAATTTTAATCTTGATGTCTAGGATATAATGTTTCCCTCTGGGATATCTGGGGTAATTTGGGAAAAGTTACATTAACCCATACAAATCAGCCAGTCAGCCTCCTTACAAATTACAAAACAGGAACTCCTCTGGTAAAACAATTCCAGCACAAATACACAGTAAAGAACCTTTCTATTTTCTACAATAATGTACTTGTTGTTCAAGCCAGAAATGTATGTGTTCAAGCCAGTGTGCTACATTAAATATGTTTTACAGTTTTATATAGTACCCTGTACAGATATATAATACTGTATTAAAAAATGTTATATAGTTCTAACATTGTATTAATACATCATAACATAACAGTATCATCGTTATCAGCGTTACTATAAAACAAGGTGCAAAAAAGAACATTTCTGAAGCAGCAAAGGTCTCCACTGAAAATTAATTTTGAACGAACTAATGCTAGCTAGCCAAGAGTATGTAAGCTTACCTAACACAATGACATAAAGCACAGGATATTCGACGACTTCTTATTTTTTCACTTTGTATGTATATATTTTATTTGTAATTAAATACTGATAAAAGCTAATTTCAGCAAGCTGTGTTATTCACAGCTTTGTAGTGTACATTCACTTTCATACATTGGCTGTGAGACTCACGCAATTCAGTTTAACCTCACGCTTCGCTCGACGTTTCTCATGCTTTTTTACAAAAGCACTTTGTTTGAATACAAGAGAAAAACATCACGCTAGCTATTCCGTGACTGCTGGTCCATGTCTGCTGCAGATCAGTGGGGGCGGGACCAGTTTCCATAGCAACAGGGAAACAATGAGAGCAATGCGATGCGTCAACTGAACACAGTGCATTTGTGTATCAGAGAATAGAGAAAACCTACATTTTTTAATCTGTCACCCGTCTGTTTGTAGTGATATTCGGGGGAAAAGTGTACAAAACAAATTGACGTTGGAACTCATCAGTTGAGCCACTGAGTTTCAAAAATATTAATTTTTCCCATAGACAAAAACAACTTAGACCCAAGACTCGACTGGATGCTAAGAGCAAATTTAAAAATGACTGTCTGTTCACTAAAACACATACATATAGATCCCATATCAGCAAGTATGAGCGAACAACTGACTACATACAGACACTATGCACATGCAGGCTGTGAGTGGTGAGTGACACTGTGTGTGTGTGTGTGTGTGTGTGTGTGTGTGTGTGCGTGTGTCTGTAGTCAGCTGACTGGTTCCTCTGACAGAGGTCTGTATTGTTCATTCATTGAGAGAGCGATCTGAAGTAAGACAGCAGAACAAGTCTCCTTTCATACCACTCACCTACACACACACACACACACACACACACACACCCTTACACCTGTCTCTCATTCCACAGATACACCATATTACACAGGGGCTTACTGTTAGTATTCTAGAGTCGGATGCTAATTCACTGACCATACCAGGGCAACTACAGACCTAATTAACATACTTTCAAAACCACCTTTGCACATTGTTATATTTCCAGATGTCTATGCTACATCTTTTGCTGGACAAAATGACCAAGAGAGCACATGAAGAGTTAAAAAATTCTCAATACTCCCATCACTGACCACATCAGTAAAACTGCTTTTTAAGGAGACCATCAAGTAATTTCACTTGTGTGATATCCAGGAATCAAACTTGTTTTTTCCGCTCCATAAATAAGCACTACCACTGCATCAAGCAGCTCATGATGAGAGCGCTGATTTGCAATTAGGTAGCCAGTGTGTGTAGCACAATCATGGGTCAGCTTTGGCTTCTATATTCAGTAAGGCTGGAAAATACTTTACCTAGTTTGGTCTAAAAAATGGATAAAGACCTCATTTAAAAATTAGCTACCTGTCATCATGCACAACGATGAAGGACACTGTATGGATTCATCTAATTCAGATAAATGAGAAACACACAGGAAATATTTGATCAGTACAGTTTGCAGTACTTTTTCTTAACCTGCTTAAGTCTTAATCTGCGGAAAGGCAAGATAAGTCCTAAATGAGCACTAACGCTGATGCGCTTTATGAATCCAGTCCCAGCTCACTGTGTATATGAGACATCAAGAAATGATAATAGTTAATTATCAGTTTTGCCAACTGATGAGACTGATGCAATATCACTGCTTTCATCTTTAGACAGTCAGTTATTTTCACATTGCCTCCATTAGTGCCACAAAGTGACCTTTTTAAACTTTTACTAGTATCAAAAAGTTTTGTATCAGATTCATGTGTTCTTGATATAACCCCATTTCCAAAAACGTTGGGACACTGTGCAGAATGTAAATAAAAATAGGATGCAATGATATGCAAATCACGTTAACCATATTTTTAAAGGAAAATAGTACAAAGACTACATATCAAATGTTGAAGCTGAGAAATTTTATTGTTTTTTGAAAACTATATGCCCATTTTGAATTTGATGCCAACAACCAGTTCACCAGTTCGGGGGCTCATTTGTTGTATTTTTAATTTTATAATGCGGCAAATGTTTTCAGTGGTGACAGATCTGGACTGCAGACAAGTCAGTTTAGCACCCGGACTCTTTTAATATGGAGCCATGTTGTTGTAACACATGCAGAATGTGGTTCGACATTGTCAGTCCATTTTAAATGAGCTCAGGCCCAGAGAAGGTGGCAGTGTTTCTGGATCCTGTTTATGTACAGTTTCTTCTTTGCGTTTTAGAGTTTTAACTTGCATTTAAGGATGCAGTGATAAACTGTGCACACAGACAGTGGTTTTAAGAAGTGCTTCTGAGTCCATGCTGTGATTTCCACTACAGAATCATGTCTGTTCTTAATGCAGTGGCGTCTGAGGGCCCGAAGATCATGGCCAGCAAATACTGGTTTTTGGCCTTGTCCCTTACATACAGAGATTTCTCCAGATTCTCTGAATCTTTTAATGATATTATGTACTGTAGATGAAAAGCAAAAGTTCTTTGCTATTTTACGTTGAGAAACGTTATTCTTGAATCGTTGCACTATTTGATCGTGCAGTCTTTCACAGAGCGGTGAACTCCTCCTCATCTTTACTTCTGAAAGACTCCGCCTCTCTGGGATGCTCTTTTTATACCCAGTCATGTTACTGACCTGTTGTCAATCAACCACCAGGTGTTTTTTTTTTAGCATTACACAACTTTAACAGCCTTTTGCTGCCCCCCGTCCCAACTTTTTTGGAATGTGTTGTTGGCATCAAATTCAAAATGGGCAAATATTTTTCAATAAAATTTCTAAGTTTTAACAATTGATATGTTGTATTTGTACTATTTTCAATTAAATATAAAGTTTAAATGATCTCCACATTATTGCATTTTGATTTTATTTACATTTTACACAGCATCCCAACTTTTTTTGGAAATGGGGTATTTACTCACCTATTACATTGCATGAAAAGAGAGATGTTTTAATGTCTACACCAAAATAAGAGCAATATTAAATCTCTGCTTCTTTTTCTTTTTACCCAATTTTACCCAATTTTCTCCCTATGTTCATCATTGCTAATTCCACCTGCTAGTTAGGTCTCCCCCACACAATGCTACTAAGTTGGGAGGGTGTAGTGAATGCATCTTTCTGAACTGCTGCTAACGCAATGTCATGGGACAACTCAACGCACTTAGAGATGAACAATAACTGCCAATTTTGTTACGTCACTTTACAGACACTTGCGCTGAGTAGCACTCTATAACTGATTTGGTTGGGGGGAGGCTAATTATGCTCTCTTGGACTCGACACAGACTCTGCTTCTTTGTGACTGCCAAAAATATGTTCCATGGTCTAAGTGCCAAAATCAAATGCATTGCTTTGCTATAATTTTACTGCTTGTCAGCCATTATTAGCAGCAGCTCATGCTGCAAGAACAATACGAGCACCTGCCGAGTTAAATATTAAAATGGGCAGATTACACAGCCAGTACAGGACTGACGTGCTGCTAGTGGAAGAAAACCTGTTCTGATGTTGAATTCTCTCACTTGGGGCAGACCAACGTAAAAAAAAAAAGTGTACATTTGGAAAGGGACTGAGAGCTGCAATTCACAGATCAGGTGTTTGGTGTGCACTGGAGTGTGGGTGGAGTGTTCACACATCAAAACAGGGTGAACTTAAGAAAAGGTCTAATTGGTTGAAGAAGGTTGGTGTGAAAGCACCCTGAGGTTTGTGAGCTGTAATCTTGGACTATATCTATAATCTGGAATTGCCAGGACTGAATGAGTTTTACCTATTATCATATTTTTACTGGTAAAATGGTTGTAGGGCTGCATGATATGAACAAAACACTAACTGTGATTACAAATTGTGTTTGGGACATTGCGATATATTCATTTAAATGGTGATTCAAAAAAATTCATCTGATTTAAAGGCAACATATTTTTACAACCGTGAGGCGCCTAGGAACCAATTGAAACACGTACCAATTGAAAACACATACCAATTGAAAGAGGGGGTCATAGAGTTTCTGACTGTCAGTGGAAGATGGCTCCCTTCAGTCTACGAGGAGATGCCGACCCCTGAGCAGAAAGAGTTCTGCGTTCTCCACTTCAATAAGAGTGAATCCGTCATAACTGTGCAACGTGATTTTCGTCGGCAGTGAATCTCCAACAGCTCAGAGCGTTCGTTGTTGGTTCCACAACACTGGATGATCTCCGAAATCGCATTGAAAGAGCCGTGAGTACAGAGACTGCCAACATGCTCAATCCAGTATAGGATGAATTTGACTATGGTGTTGATCTTGTCCGTACAGCTGGATGAGGTTCATACTGAGCACTTATAAAATTACATAATAAACTTTAAGCTCACTTAAACTATTTACAGTTTACTGCATTGTTCTGTACAAGTGAAATAAATCATTTTCAAAATCAGATGAATCTTTTTGAATCACCCTATATTAAAATATATTAAACATGCCTTGGTAAATCAATAATGTGAGATGGTTAAAGACTGGCTTTCCTTATTTTGGTCAAAATAATTTAGTTTTGTGGATTTTGTTGCCTTCACATAGGCCTGTGTTTAAACATTTACCATGGTTATTTTCCACACAGTTACCTAAATAAGAGGACTGCGTTACCAGCACACGCTTATTTTGATGTCCTGTCACCACCACCAAACCCCAGAAACAAATAAAAAACAATACAAAACAGGCTACAGACATCATCAAGACTACATCTGTGAAACGTCAGGGAAACATTTGAAGTACTCTAGGATTGTGCTTCGAATATTAGCGTATCCTCACCGTTTTCCTTCCGCAGCCGTGAGATGAACTTCTTGGGCGGGATGACGCCCACCTTCTTCTTCTGTGTGGCGATGCTGTGGAAGAGGTCAGCCAGACAGGTGAGCAGATTCTCCTTCTTCTTCTGCTGCGCCTTGTAGGCCAACACGCTCTCCCTGAACGGCCTGCAGAAATAGAGCGCCTGCAGCACCGAGTTGCAGTAACACGTGTTCCCAAACTGCAAAAGAGAAAGAGAGGGAGAGAGAGAGAATTGCCATCATGCTTGTGCTACATCATCCTCTTGTATTTTTACAGAACAGAACTGCATGTGTAATGTAATCAGAGCTGAGGGAACAAAACGGCAGGATGAGAGTCGGACATTATTTTCTGTTCAATGACAAGCGCATCTTTAGTAGCATTAGCTTTGTCATTCTGGTAAGAGGTAATCTTGGCCAATTGACAGTGATCTCTTAGACCGGGTGCTCTGCTGTTGTGTTCTCCGAAGACAACATTTTCTGTCCTCGAAAATGTTCAGTGCTCGAACTGAATGAAACGAAGAGAACTGAAACGATACAGAGGGCCTGCTTAATTAACAGAAGACCTACAAAATATGACTGAAAACAAGCCTAAGAGTGGGATGGAAAGGGATGCTCAGCAAAATAGAGAACTGCCCTGATACAACAGTAATGTAATGCTGAGTCCATACTATTATATTGGTAACACAGTCTTGGTATGGTTTCAAAAAACAGTTCTGAATTTGAAAGTAATACTGTTCTTTAATGCTGGTCTTGCTCTGCCTCATGGGTACACACACAGCATGTGCATAAACAGTTGGCACAGTTTATTACACAATGGCAAAGACGTCTAAGCAGACCGTCGCCTCCTCTCTGCAGAACTTCTTTAGTATGTAAAAAGATGAGTTTCTGATGCTGTTTTGACACATGCATGTGTTTTAAAATCCATTCATGGGATTGAATTGGTAATTGCAGAATGAGGTTTTAAAATGAGCCTGAGGCACATTTGAAGTCATAAAATACTCGATTTGCACGTTTGACTGCAAACATAAATTATATTATGTATTAGGCTTAGCAGTAAGCCACTTGAGGCTGTTACAGGGACAAACAAAGCCAAAAAGCCCCCAGAGAACAGCATGATCCAGAAAGTTCGGTGGACATTATCACAGTTATTCTATGTCATAAAATCTCCCCAACATGTGACATTTTACTCATATGACTTTTGTTTTAAACTTTTAGTTTGGCGATAAATATGTCAGTGTGAATGCAAACCAGAACTAAAATGCAACAACGTATAATTTTCTGCTTTGCTTCAGACCAAAGGAACCAAGGTTAAACATACTGCTAAAACACATTCCCTTATTTTCACCACATGATGCCTTGTTTGAACAGTCTACGATCAACCATAACCAGTTGTAATTCAATTTTAAATGACCATTTTCCAACCTCTCTTTATCCCCTCTGTTTTTGTTACTGTGCCTTTAAGATTGATATATGATGTAAACAAGCTCTATTCTGAATAACTGGCCTTTATTGCACCTCATTCAAAAAACAGTCTGGGTTGAAACACTCCTTATAAATTCAGCTTAACTGGGCGGAGATAAACTTATGTAGATGGAATAGGCAGACATATGTAAATGTGCTAGTCTTTGTAAAATCACAGAAACAATGAATTTAAAATGAGCTGTTTTTTTGCAGCTTAGTTTCCATATATGGACTGTGTGGACTTCAACAGTACGTTTTAAAGCATTTAACAATGTTTACATCCTACATCAAAAAAAAGAAAAAAGGAAAATTATATGTTTTATGACACCGGCCCTTTAAAAAAGGTATGCTAGTCATATTTATTCAGCAATCTGTTCTGAGTAAACAAACGACATTGTCGTCAATTCTGCTGAAAATAGCCTTCGAATCTATCTGTAAAAGCCCTTCTTGTTGACAGGGTGACCCACTTGTCACTACAGCAGGTCACAACCTCCTGCAGCACTGGATAAATATGCAATTGCTTAATTGCTACTGCAATTGGGTTTGATAATTGAAAACATGACTGGAGTGTCAACATGACCAAGAACAGCTTGTTAACACCACACAGTGGCCTTACACCTCATTTCTTTAAGCCATTCACAAAATACAGCATAAAAACAAGTGCTTTCCCTTGAGTTTCCACCCAGGTCAGGCCTCAGGAGAACAACAGGAGTAGAGATTTTCAGTATAAGTCCTACAAACTGCAAACAATATCTAAATTACTCAAGTCTGGTTAAAATTATTCACAGGCCAACCACTTAAATTGCCATTGTTTAGGCTCATGGTGAAACAGACCTTTCTTGCTTTTGGATGTTTTGATGTGTGTTTTGTGGTCGTATTTGAGCTTGGAATACATGAGTAGTATAAAATGGCTTGATCAGCCACAAACAGAGCAAAGAAATCCTCTGCTTTCCAGAGCTCTCACATGCAACACTTTGCCTTATTTGGGCCAAGCGTGGACATGATCCACAAAATCAGCCCAACTTCCCATAGCCGTGATTACTCTGGCTTGTGTGCAAAAACATGTGTCAGTCGGAAAGCTTGAAGGCGTACGTGACACTTACGTTGACCAATCCAAAGTAGTGTTCGTTAATCGGGAACTGCTCTGGACCAATGTCTTTCTCCAGAGCAGAGGCATTGGTGCCCTAAAAGTGGGAGAAAAAGGGAAGACAGACAGAGACAACAATCATTAATTTAATCATAAATGAAACATTTAGGGTAATGTCCCTATAACTTTATTATAAAGCAACACACGCATCATCATTCTGCACCTTGCAATAAGTAGATAGTGGTGAACAGATGATCAGCCCAGGGCACAAAAGAAGCAGGTGTTTTCTAAATATGTAATTGCTTAATTGGTGCTGTCTTCTCACATGGTAATTGAGTTTTCTGCCTTCACAAAAAACGGTACTGCAGCTCGTATATGTGCGAGTGGGTACGTTTTGTTCTTAATGGTGTCGTGAGGAAAATCAGTACCAGGGCAAAAACAGCCTGTCTCAGGCAGCCAAAGAAAGCACTCTGTCCCCTCAGCAATCTACATAAACAAACATGCCTAACTCGATTTTGCCAAGCAAACTGCCACGCCATGCACGCTTATTCCACGTTCAGCCTCTTTCTGATTAAGGTTCAGTTATATTTAAGCCATAACCACATAAACTGATGAAATTATCCTCATACTGGTTTCAAATCAGCCATCATTCACTGCCAGCCTGTCGTGGTCATGTGTTCTGGGGAAATTCGCTCCATCACTTGCTGTGACCTTACAAGAAAAGTATTTGGTGTTGGGCAGCTTACTTTATGGTTTTCACTGGTACTGTGTGCTCTATGAGTAAAGAACTCCTGATTCTTTGTGTGGAAACAATAAAAAAGCATTGTTTTTATATTCAGGCTACTCCCTTTGCCCTATTTAGTGAACTTTGAAAACAGATGCCTTGTGTGAACAAGTTGGGACAGACAAAATGCACCAGCGAATTAGAAATACTACATAATGAAAAACTGTAGGCACAAGATTTTCAAATTTAAGAAGGAATAGAAAGAAAATTAAACAGCTGGCAAAAATAAACTGATTAATAAGCATGTTATAATAGGCTGACATTCAATCAGCTACTTGTTGCTATCGAGTTTCTGCGACTAATTTACTATACTGGTGATGCACAATGAGTACATTTACATGCACTTAATAATCTGATAACTGCAGAAAATCATATTTTGTCAGTAATCTAATCAACACGTTTACATGCATTTGAGTAATCAGATGTGAAGACTACAGGTCTCCATGAGTCAGACAGTAATCAGCTTTCTGCTTTGCAACCAGCCAATAAACTCACAGAAGACGTGACGTAAATGTAACGTAAAACTCGAACTTCATGCCGCAGCTTTTTTTCTAAACATGGCACCACTTTACCTAAAATATATGAACATACATCATCTAGAAGATGAAGACTGTTTGGTTTCAGCTCCACTCAAAAAGTGTTTTGCTGCCATCGTACAGCAACTCTGCTTGCTTATTTACGGTACCGTCGTCTGTTCTCAGACTGAGAAACACAAAGTAAGAGCTTACATGCACTGAGAAATCTGATTACTGGGCTAAAATCCAGCTCTCTTTACCAGATTTCTAGATCGGAGTATGGTGTTAACATGACCATTTGAATAATCGGATAACTGCAGAAATCTGATTATGATCATATTATCGAATGCATGTAAACGCACTCATTGATATTGGAAACATATCTGTATTAAAGATATTTATTTTTAAAAATATTGGTATCAGACAGATGCTTAGTTGTTTAGAATGTTTAGGTGATGTTAGGCAGCTATGCTAAAATGTAATTTGTAAATGTTTTATGGCATTAATAACGGTAGAAATGTACATTAAAAATATTGGATATCGGCAGCGGCCCACAGTTCCCATATTGACGCATCCTTAATACTGTTTTCAGGTTCTGTATAGATGTAAATCTGTCTTTTTAAAGATTCACTCGTTCCGGGTTATAGAAGCATTAACGACACCCACGATACGCTCAGAAAGGTGTAACATTTAGTCATTCATCACAATAAAAATACTGTTTTACGTAACATCCCAGCCGTAAAATAAGTCACACATATAAATATAAATTCTACATTGATTTTAAAAGTATTTATTCAACAAAGTCATCAACAGTCAATCGTTTTAGACTGTTGGAATCCCTTTGGACTGCTGTAGTCCCCCTTTTGTCCTTTCAGAAATTATCAGACTGGATTTTGGTTTTCTGGTCAAAATTAGGCTGAAAATTTAAAAATCCAGTGTTCACTTTTGAAAGACTCATCCCGGAAGTCTTAAAAATCTAATCAAGCAGATCTCAGCTGAACACAAGCTGAGATCTGACAGGGTTAAGGTTCTTCACTGAGGCCAGACTGGTTACTGGTAATACACTACCAGCCATGACATGCACTCTTATTATCTTTAACATTGTGAGATGGAACATTAAAGAACACATGACTACACGAGACTTCAGAGACACAACGGTACTCCAAAGTTAGACATGGTATTCAATGTACGGTCTTAATAATGCATGGACCTGTCTGCTAGGAAACGTTACTGAGTAAGAGAATAGCCTACTGAATAATCAGGAAAAGTCCAGGGTTCCATGTAAAGTTAAGTGATTGGGATTATGTTCCCCATCTAGTGGGATCTTTCACATCTGCTATTTAAAAGTAAATCTTAATATCCATGACTATCAGATCAGGTCTGTCTAAAGTATTAAATGGGAATTCCACTTATTTTTACATTTTCACAGCAGTGGTGAACCAGATGTCTGACAATTTTTTAATAGTTTTGAAATAAGGTTTCTGCCTAAAATGCATTTTTAAAAATCCATTCAGGTTGGAGAGGTACATGATTTTCCCATCATCACCATGACATATAAAAACTCAAAACGTGTACATTCATTGATGGTTTGGACAGTGAATGAATTGCCTATTTCGCACATTATGTTCTGTGGTTTCTGTGACCACCACAGTGAAGACATCTGACTTGGAGAGTATTTTTTTCAGAATTACCTCCATTTTACCTCTATATTATCAACATCACATATGGTTCACTGGTTGTTTTGCATAGTACATAGCATGACTATATTTGTGCTGAAGACACTGTGACCTCTGGTTCCTATCAGCACCACTGTAAAGAAAGCTGAATGAACCATTTCACAACAAACCACCCTGAACGACTTTGTTTACATTTTAATGACTGAATTATGTAGAAATTTGAAACCGGTGGAATACATTAAACAATCGCCCTTGTCATCGGTGTGACAGCCACAATTTAACCCAACACAACCGATTCGGTCTTAAAAGAACGTCAGAGTCACTGCCCGAAAAAGAGCTATGGAGATGACTGACAGGTGATTGATGCCAAATAGCTGCCCTGTGCTTTCTGTGATGGTAATAACCTGAGAAAACAACGCAGCTTTTCTTCTCTTTGAGGAAATATGAATCCAGCAAGGATTCCATTTCAAACTTAACAGACCTTAAGTGGCCACTGACTCAAAGGTATACACGTTTTGCATTGTGTGACAGAGAGATTAAGACCTTAAATGATCTTTGCCTACAGTAGGAGGCATGCTATACCCACACAAAGGCTATTGAATATCAGATGTTCAAAGGCTTTGGAAACAGAACGGTATTATTGTAGAAGGGGTATGAATAGAGACTTCTGCCTGCATCGTCTCTGACTGAAAGAACCAAAAAGCAGGGTTTTGTTTCTCCTTGAACTTCTGAAACAGGGCTGCACAATACTGCTGCATACTGCGATTATGATATGCCATCATCATCATCACCACAGCAGTGAAACAGAAATGTGACATGGTTAAATACTGGCCTACTTTGAACAAAATTATTTAGATTGTTAGATGACATGAATGCCTTGATTCATCCAAAACACCCACAGACACTCATGGGATGTGGGGGAAGTGACATTTAATAATAATAAGTTTGAAGGTTTATTTACATATTGCAAGCATTGGTGACATCATTTCTGCAAAGGCAAATACTGTTATAACAATTAACGAGAAATTTCACCAGTTTCTGAAACTTTCTGCAGCATTCGGCTTAATGGTGATGTAAACAAAGCCATTCAGAGTGGTTTGATGTAAACTGGTTCATGGTAGAGAAACTTACTGACTATATTTCTCTACAGTGGTGCTGACAGGAGCCAGGGATTGTAATGTCTACAATGCAAATACAGCCCATTTTTAACCAAAATGGCCAGTGAACCTACAGGTGTCTTCTGAGTTTTATATGAAACTGAGAATGACAAAATAGTCATAATTCTAAAAAAATAGGTTTTCTTTGGAGACTATTTTGCCTTACGATGCATCTTTCTGCCATGTATGGATTTTTAAAAACATGTTTCAGGTCTAAACGTTATCTCAACACTATAATAAAACAATGTCTCAGGCATCAGGCAGCATATGGGGCTTATTAACCATGAGTCATAGCTGTTTGTGAGGGCACTTTTAAAGGCACTGAATGCTTTAGATGTCTGGTTCCTATCACCATCACTGTGAGGAACTCAGAGTTTCTCTAAAACTGAGAATGTCGCATCAAATCACTCTGAATGACTTTGTTTCCAACTTAATGATTCCAACTTAATGATTTAATTACGTACAAATCTTGGGGAATTGGTCGAATTCCCCTTTAACAACTATACATTGACCCCGAAAAGTATTTGGACATTTGTGCCATACTTAAAAAAAAAAGGTATTAAGTTCATTGTGTTAGGAAACAAAATGTAACACTGAATGGAATTCATTTTAAACAGATCATTCAAATGCTGTCTTTGTCTTTTTAGCAAGTGTTCATTCAAAATTTTTGATTGTTTGAGCTGGCTTCTGCAGGTTTGTATACAGAATGCCTTTTACATATCAGTTCATGATCCCACAAATGAACACGAGCTCTCCAACATCACTGGAAAAAAACAGCACCACATTTTGACAGCATCACACTTCAACCTCTGTGCTTTGCAGTACCCTGTAAAGACCTCAAGACCCTCTTCTCGATGCTTGTTGCACATAAAGACTCTATTATCAGTCTGATGTTGTGCTAAAGGTATTATTCTCTGAAACAGTTATCTTTTTGATAAACAATCTATTTCCATTAAAATTTACCCATGATTAAAGTGTCCAGATACTTTTTGTGGCCACTGTATATTGTGAAACCCTATTTGAATACTTGTGCACACAAGCAAGTGAAGACATACACATAAACTTGTGATTTTCCTGGACTGGTCGCATCGAATGATAGATTCAATTACACATTCAATTAGCTACAGACAGGCCTACTGCAGAGAACTGTATCACAAAGACAAATTAAATGGCTCAGAGCTCTTTCAGGTGCTTCTCAAGGCCTGAAATTGCAATGTTAGCATCTGACATGAAGACACTGAGTAAAAGGGAGCATTACAATTTATATAGGAAGCATTTCAATATCTCTCAATGTGTCTGTGAAAAAAGCAGCCATGTCTCTCATACACAGACAGATCCTGGCAAATGGTAACATAACTAGCACTAAGGAAGTCTGGCCTGTGCAAACCATGAGGGCTACCATACATCCAACTAAATAATGCAACATATCCTAATCGCCACCATGACTGAAACATCACTTGCACCCACCATCTGCCTGCATGAGTGGGGAGTGTGGATTTCACACTGGGCTGCAGTCAGGCAGGCAGCACTACCAAAACATCCTGACTGAAACTTAAGAATTGCATTACACAAAATCTGTATTATCACATTACATTACTGACTGACTACTGAAACTAAAGACAGACTGTGCCAGAGAACACAAAACTACTTCAGTTCAACAGCTAAATCGGTAAAGAACTGCGGTGCAATGATTCACAAAATTCATAACTATGTCTGATACAATATGGCAAAATGAGAAGTACCTGAAAATCTGCCTTATGTTAACATGTTAATGTTTCTATTCAGGGTTGGGATGTAATGAAGACAAGTATTCAGAATACATATTCAGAATATAGAAATATAGTAGGTGTATTCAGTCCAAGTTACATTTTGGTATTAAATGATGTTAGAAAAACCATCAATGTCTGTTTATGAAATATGGAAGATCTGCCCTCATTGTGGGTTTGCTTAATTGATGTTTATTAAACTTGCACTATAATTAGATCATTATTAAACAGGGTTCTTTATTCACTCCAGTCTGTTGAAAGCATTTTTCAACACCTCTGCATTCAGAATTATAAGACTTGCCTGAAATTATTTAATACAGTGTACTGTCACACTCCTTCTACGTAAACAGAAGAAATTTCCCAGCATTATTATTATTGTGTTATTGCAATAATACGGAAAATATCATAACATAAAATTGTCAGTACCACCCTGCACTACCTTCCTGCAGAGCTCGGTTTAGTCTAACACACATAAGCTACCTAATAAATGTCTTGAGGAACATGTAAATATTGGGCTATATCTCAGAACTAGAACTGAACTTTCTTGGTAGACAAGTCTTCAAAAGAGAGCTCAGGCAAGAGTCTGTATGTCTGGAGAAAGTTGAGGAATATGTAAGAAAGTAAAATTCCAGTTCAGTAGTTTGGCAAAGTGTAAATCAAGAGTCAGGCCAGACAACATCTACAGCTATCTCTACTGTGAGTTGTCCAGTTATTCCTCAACGTGCTTTGGACATTCTGAGCACAGCAGGTCACCACACATCACTCAGCTCAGTTTAAAAACTGGCATACAGCTTAGCAATCATACAGCATTAAAAACTGAACACTGACCTGGACCCTGACTTTCTTTTTCTTTATTAATGAAAAGAATTGTGGGAGCGCAGAAAGGCATTTGAGGTTGCCATGTCTGGTTTGCAGTGACCCTGGTGGAGGGTGGGCCTAGTGTGGTTCGGGCTGACGAACGCTGCTTTGACTGCACATGAGCACTGTTCATTATTTACTGCTGTAAACCATCAGGGGCTGTTTTACATACCTGGACTGCTAAGCAATCTGAATAACTATTCTCCTGCTGTATAGGTTTGACTTGTGCCTCCATTTATCTGGCCCACTGAGAAATCAGTGTGTAAAAGTGTGGTCTTGCAGCATTATGGTGATCGTTGTTGCTCTTCTGTTGTGTGGTTTCTTACCTTATGTTACTGTTTTCATCTATGCTTACCATGCTTACCAGGGTACACTGCAGGTGTGCACTAGAAGGTTTGTATTATAAAGTGTGCTGGTTCATCTCACTCCCTGTTCTCCCTGTTCTGCTGTCCTTAATGAACTCAAAGCTTGCAACACCATAAAAATAAGCTGCTCAAAGTTTTCAATTTAAGTCAGTGAGGGTCTTAACTCATGCTTACAACACAGTGCGCGTGGTCAGGCTCCATGGCAACGCCAACCGAGCCGTGAGCTTAGCTTTTAGCACTTCCCAAAACATTACAAATGACCTCTTAAACAGGGATTATCCTTCTCCTACCATCATGACTGCGTCCCCGTTTTCTACATTAGTCTGATATCTCACTGACACTTCGTTACAAAACATTAAAACAGCCAGCAAACTTGCACTGTGAGGAACTTAAGAGCACTGGGAATTTAATGATGTGTAAACCGGCCTGGATCCTACAGAAGTGACCACCCCCTAATCACACCGCATTCGGCCTAACGGACACATTCATTCAGACCGTCAGCCAAAACACCCAGCATCTTAACTCAGTGCACTACGGTCATGTCAGTTATCCAGGCCAGGCGCTCGTCCCCTCCGGAGCACGGAGCAAACAGGTCAACGCGAGAACGGACATCAGCATCCCCGCACCAAGGAAGCGCTCAGCTAGCTAGCTAGCCGGCTAGCAAGCTAAAGGTCGATGTTAAGATCAGTGTACTTACCATATTACAAATGGAGGCGATATTTCTGACAGTCATTTAGTTCACAGGGTACCCCTCGCGGCCATCTTCATAAAACAAACATGACTGGAGGTTGCAGAGCAGGTAGATCTTGCGCAGCTCGGACCAAGAGGCCAACTGCAGCAGCAGCAGCCCCTGTCTGTCTGTCGGAGAGAGAGACCTGACTCAGACACACGGCATGCAAGTATTCACCGTTCACGCAATATGTGCTTCGCATAAAGCGATATAAAACGCGATATAAACGTCTTAAAATGTTAGCTTAGTTCATTTTGTTCGCTAAAATCGTGCCGTTGGATTAAACCCGCTGAGGTATTCGCAGTAAACATCATCATCGCTCTTGGCAGGTAACTAGCTAGCAAAGTCCGAACGGACCGCCCACGCCCCGCCCCTTCTGACGGAGAGCCGCTTTGGTTCGTGTGAAGTGGGGCGGGCTTAACCGTGATTGACAGATCGCTTGACCAATGAAAGCCAAAGATCCAGTACAGCGAGAGGTGATATTCTACATTTTGGCCATTGACAGACCTTTTACAAGAAGTCAGATTTTTCTTTTTTATTATGAGGAAATACACTTTTTGGTACAACGTAAAAGGGGTGCAATAACAAAGATAACACGAGCTGCATTAACTAGATCCACATCACTGCAGAATCTGCCCAGATTTATTGTCTTGGTAAAACAGTCTATTCACTGAAAAATGTGATAATCCTGAAAAATCAAATTACTAATATAGTTTGTAGCAAGAATAAACAGTGATTTAAAATACTCTGTGTAGAAACCATTGAGCTTTCCAGTGTCCGGTGCAGCTGGTCAAGGCTGGTTCAGCATGCCTGTGCCTTTAAAAGTCCCATAATTCAACTCTCCCTCTCTGCTTGGTTCTGTGGTTCTTCCTCCAAATTTCTGACTCCGGTCTTTCGCCTCTGCTCGCTGTGGGAGATGGACGTGTCTGCGATGGCTGATTCACCTCTAGAAGGTTCGAGATGATTCTTCTGAAACATTTTTAAAAAGGCTTTGCTGTGAAACTGGTGCAGTTGTTGGTCTGGTCTGCACTTTCTCGGACATAATCGAATTTAGTTGCCTTTAGACAGGTTTGTTGAGCGGAGTAGGCGGTGTTGAAGTGGCTTGCTAACTCTGCTAACACGTTTAGCTGGATTACAGTGATGTATGCTAGCGTATGTAATGTTGCTCACCCGTTCGTAACCACCTTCAGCTGAATTAGGGGATCCAAACAGAAAAATATGAGTTTGTGTAATGAATATGCGACCATGTCCGTTCTAGGAACACGTGGGGTGAACATGGTCGGGCCTCTCTTGACCCATGTGGTATAGCCAGCTAAGCTAGCATAGCTTGGGTTTAGTGTAGAAGCTTTAGTAGGCCTCTGCGTTTAGTCTGAAGTCTGCAGTCCTGATGTGATTTTTTTATGTTCTAGGTCTGACTTTTGAGTCACCTGGTTGACTAGGATGACTTTGTTGCTTCCACGAGTGAACCTGTAACGGTAAGTGTGGTCAAGCGTTTCTTCCCTTCCAGTCGGAAGAAATACCTAATTTATCTGATAAATATTCCATAAATGCAATGTTGTAATGTCAGTGTTTTGATCTTTCTATCTTGTTTTCAGGGAAGAGAAATGAACATGTAGCTCCTGGCTGGAATGGAGAGTCCTACACAAAATTACAGCAGGTGAGATTTAGTAAACGTGCATAAGTCCGTTTCATTTATCCCCTTTATTGCCCATTTAAGACCATCATGTCCTAAATGGTTAACACAGGGGGGTAGAAGAACTCTCTCAAAAACCTGAAGTAAAGGCTGAATATTCCTTGCTTCGGATCCTGTCGGGAGAAACAAACCTTTTCTTGCCCAAATGTTAGTTTTCCTCATGCTTAGAATACTTATATCTAACGAACATGGACTCAATTTCACTTGTTCACAGGTGCTGAAAGTGGAAAATGTGGATTGTGAAAATGACAGTAGGCCTGCCACGTCACATGTAGCTAGGTAAGTTAATTTGCACGCCTGTATCAACCCCAGGTTTTTTTTTTTTTGTAAAAAAAGTCCAGATAAGACAGCCCCACATTTTGGGTAATTTAGGCAGCGTTCCCTCCTATGCTTTGCCCACTGGAGGCTGCCTGTGTCTCTAGTGGCCATTACAGGGGGGTACAGTGACCCCTTGCTAAAACAGGGGTCAATGGGCTTCTCCATGTGCCTGGATCCTGGGCGAGGAACACAATCTAAAGATGAGTGTTTTATAAACAGCTTCTTTAAGAATTAATACCCGAATATAAATGAGCTGTAACGATCAGACTTCAGATGTTGAGGATTACTTACATTGTCTGTTTGGATTTAAGCTTGAATGAGTGGTTTCTGATGATTAATGATTAAACCTGCTTACTTTTTTCCTCACCAGGTGCTGCTGTCTTAACCCTGATGGACGCATCTATGCTGTGGCGTTGTGCATTTGATACAGATTGTATAAATTTGTTTAGCCTTTGACTTTGTACAGCATTTGTCTGTAAAATGGAGCAGGTCTGTCAGTTCCAACTGGTTTGCCAAATTGTTTCTGTACAAGTGCAGATTAATGTATAGGCTGTGTTCTAACAGTCCAAATGCCTTTTCTCAGGTACATGTAAGCAAGTTAAAACTTATTTTTTTTAAATAAAAGTTCGGCCTTTATTTTTGTGTGTCATTCTTCCTGGGAGACCTGTGTGAATAATTGTCCTCATTAATCTGTAGTAGCCAGTGAGTCCTCTTAAGATGTGTGAAAAGGTTTAAATGCGTTCTACCTGTCAAGAGTGCTAAAAACACCACAAGATGCAATTATTTGTTCCACTTGTAAGCATAAGGCAGTGAGTCATTCTTTCTAAGACCTTTTTGTTGGGGGCTGATTTTTGAAGATTTCAGGAAATGGGGAGAATGGTTAGGGGTGAGAGGCAGTGGGCAGGCAGTTTTAGCAAAAGCCTTATTTGGTGCACCATTATGTTATGTAATGTGTGTGTATATACTTTGTTTTTAAAATGGTTCTTTACATCAGAATCTCAACTACAGAAATGAGTCCTTAGGGATCCAGCAGTGCTTTATCAACGGCAGTGTTCTGGAGATGCATTTTTTTTTTTTTTGAGATCTTTACTATCGAAGGCCTTTCAGATGGACAAAGTAAGCAGGACGTTTTGGGCTCATTTGTTTGGTTCAATGATTAAAAATGTATCTCGCAACTAGTCCAGCCTGATCCTGTTAATGGATATGATGCATCATATTCTAAGTTTTAACTTGATCTGTCATTGTTATTGTAAAACTTCACCTGAGTGTACAGAACCCTTTGAGGTACCATGTATAAAAAGTGCTATATAAATGAAGATGTTAGTCATTTGTTGCATATTACTGCTCTAGTCTTGGCTATGTGCCTCTGCCATGACCTTAAAATAAGAGCTAACCAAATGGCAGGTTGATCTCACCATCGTAGATATGAAAAACACATTTTCATTGTTTTATGTAATTTAAGGGGGACATTTTTCAGTGACAGTTCTGTTCAAATGATAAATCTATTATAAAGGACATTAAAGAACCTGAGCAGCTTAATCACAGGCATTTCAGGGATGATGAGCCTTATTTTGCACATTATGACCTCTTAGTGAATTATGAGAAATGTGCCAGTTCTATGGCCATTTAAAGTGTAAACGTGATTAATGAGCCAATGACAACAGGGTCTTGGAGGTTTTGATGAGTAATATTGAGATTTTATTACAGGCTATAAGCGAAGTAAGGCTAATGCAGAGAGGAGATGCAGGAAATTGCATTTCATAGTTTTGACAACGGAAGGATGCTTCTCGGGATATAGATAAAGTCAAGTTCAAGGCTAAAAAAAAACGAGTTTGAGTGGAGAAAATGAAATTCCATCTATTTGCCTGTATCATGTACACAGATCAGGCATAACATTATGAGCACCTCCTTGTTTCTGTGCTCATTGTCCATTTTATCAGCTCCACTTACTATATAGGTGCACTTTGTGGTTCAACAGTTACAGACTGTAGTCCATCTGTTTCTCTGTTGTTAGCCCCCTTTTACCCTGTTCTTCAGTGGACCCCCATGGACCCTCACAGAGCAGGGACTATTTGGTTGGTGGATCATTCTCAGCACTGCAGTAACACTGATGTGGTGGTGGTGTGTTAGTGTGTGTTGTGCTGGTCTGAGTGGATCAGACACAGCAGTGCTGCTGGAGTGTTTAAACACCTGCTGGACTGACAATAGTCCACCAACCAAAAATATCCAGCAAACAGCGTCCTGTGGGCAGCATCCTGTGAGCACTGATGAAGGACTAGAGGATGACTGTTCAGCAGCAGATGAGCTATCATCTCTGACTTTACATCTACAAGGTGGACTGACAAGGTAGGAGTGTCTAATAGAGTGGACAGTTAGTGGACACAGTGTTTAAAAACTCCAGCAGCACTGCTGTGTCTGATCCACTCGTACCAGCGCAACACAAACTAACACACCACCATCACGTCAATGTTACTGCAGTGCAGAATGATCCACCACCCAAATAGTATCTGCTCTGTGAGGGTCCATGGGGGTCCTGACCACTGAAGAACAGGGTAAAAGGGGGCTAACAAAGTATACAGAGAAACAGTTGGACTACAGTCTGTAACTGTAGAACTACAAAGTGCACCTATATAGTAAGTGGAGCTGATAAAATGGATGATGAGCATAGAAACAAGGAGGTGGTCATAATGTTATGCCTGATCGGTGCATATTCTAAGAACTGCAAAGTTGACAGAAAATGTGGAAGTGTTATTCCAGGGAAGATAGGATCTGCTCTTCTGCATGAGCAAAAAGGCCTACCTGACTGATCTGTCACACCTACAGCACTGCTAAACTGTAAAGGTTGTGTGTGTTTGTGCTGACAGGACCAGCATAAATGCTACAACCTCCTGTGTATGTAACACCATAACACAACAGAGATTTATGACTGGCTTGTTAGTGAGCAGGAACATTCTCTCAAATCAAACACTGAGTTCATTTGAAACATGGTTGTTCTCAGAGGATTTAATTCAAATTAAACAAGCCTATTAAATGAATGCTGTATTGGAGGAGAGCTGGAATGGAGCAGATATGGCCGGCTGTTTGAAGCTGTCTAAAATGTACCAGTGGTTTATTTGAGAGCTCTGAGATTGACAGCTTCACACATGCATTGGTTTGCTTTGAGTCACCTTTGAGTGACAGATGAACAACTAAGAAGGCTGGAGACAGTGTGTCTCTCCGGTACGCTCTGTTCAGAGCACAGTGTAGAATGTTTTTGGCTGTACTGCTGTGTACATGTGAACATTAGAGCAGTGCCCTTTCAGCTAGACTCTGATCCAGTTCACCACATCAGAGTGCAGAAGCATTTAATGTTGTCATGGAGAGCAAGGCAAGGGTGTGAATTTGAATTTGAGTATTACACCAATCAGCCATAACGTTAAATCCACCTCCTTGTTTCTTGTGCATTTTATTAGCTCCACTTACTATATAGGTGCACTTTGTAGTTCTACAGTTACAGACTGTAGTCCAATTGTTTCTCTGCATACTTTGTTAGCCCCCTTTTACCCTGTTCTTAAGAGGTTAGGACCCCCACAGAACAGGTATTATTTGGGTGGTGGATCATTCTCAGCACTGCCGTGATACTGACATGGTAGTGGCGTGTTAGTGTGTGTTGTGCTGGTCTGAGTGGATCAGACACAGCAGTGCCGATAAAATGGAGAGTAAGTGTAGAAATAAGGTGGTGGTTTTAATGTTATGGCTGATTGGTGTATACTAATGGGTGACGAGTCAAAGTAAATAAACAACAAAACGTGTCTTACTAAGGTGTTGCACCACCACAAGCTTCCAGTACAGCTCCAACAGACCTTGGTTTGTTTTCTCTGGAAGCCTCTGTAACTGTACTGGAGGGATGGAACACAGTTCTTTCCCTTAATTGGTGTTTTAATGATGGTACAGAGCACTGTCTAACATGTGTTTAACCTAGTCATTTTCATCGAACTCATCAAGCCTGTGGGTGCTGAACATGCAGTCCTGTATTGTCTCTGTGTGTACACTGCACATGCACTTGTCCACTTGTAGAGCATGTGGTGATGGATGGCTCATGTGACCATATCACTTTTTCCTCTTTAATGTAGATCATGCCAGTGGTTTTTGCATCACTTCCTCTCAAATGTGTATTCATAAATCTAAATGTGTATTGAAACACTAGTCAGTCGATCAGTCTTGTGACTGAAGCTCCTGCCCCCTGTGCCCAATATGCAGGCTAAAGCATTGTTTTTATTTGCCACAGAGTGTGGTAGGATGTTAATATCTTCATTATATAATGCCAAACATCTGTCTGCATGATACAAAGAGGAGGGTCACCATTTTTTTCAAATGTCTGCATAGTTCTATGTTATAGATGCAAACAAAAGTAATTCAGTGTGGTTTGATGTGAAATTTGGAAAAATTTCATTACAGTGGTGGTCATGGGAACCAGCTGTCGTGATATCCATAACACACATATAACCACTTTATTTATTTAATTCATCAAAACCTCCAGAGAACCTACACCTGTCTTTTTGATTTTATATAATGCTGATAAAGGTAAAATAGTGTTAAATTTAACTTTAGGGACTGTTTTGCCCTATAATACTCTTCATGTTGTTAATGGATTTAAAAAAAAGTGTGCTTTTGGGCAAAACCTGATCAGGCAGCTCAGGTGTCATGCAGCATAATAATAACCATTTAATGGAACAATTTATTGTGAGGGAGCTCTCAGAGGCAGACTTCTGGATCCTGTCATCACCACTGTGAACAATTCTGACTCAGGCTCATCTAAGTTTCTCTAGAGCAGGGTGTACATCAAACCACTCTGAATGACTTTATTTACATCTTAACCATTTAATAATGCAGAATTTAGGGCCAGAACACACCAACTGAAAATTCTGCAACAAACACCAGTATTTTAGTATTTGCAGGTGCCCAGAAAAAGAACTGACCAGCCAAATGAATCAAAATGAATAGGGAGAGAACATTTTGAGTCTTCCAACAATCGAAAGCATGTACGGCAAGCCAACCTTATGTTTCTGTTTTTATGTGTATGTGGGTGTTTTTTGGTGGTAGCACTCAGCAAAAGTCTTAAGATAAACTTAGTTAAAATTCTTTAAAACTGTTCAGTAAGAGTGTTTTTTTCTTGTAAAAAACACAGTATATCATTAGAATCCATTCAAATAAACCATTTTACAGTAAAAAGCTACAATAATTTATGTAGCACACCTGAATTCAGTTAATCAAGTGTGATTCAGAGAAATATTGTTTATGAGAACCAAGTACTGAATGGTAATTATCCAAAAACGAGCTGTCTCAAAGAGAGTATTTGTAAATGGTTAAGATGATACACTGACAGATCATAATGTTTTGTATTTATTCTAATATTAGTGCATTTTCTGAGCAAATACAGACTAACTGGCCAGATACACAGCTTTTCATATAAATGTTGCTGATCAAAAAGATTAATCCGATTTCCATGCCATATGCACCTAGGAACCAATCACATACCAATTGAAAGAGGGGGGTCATAGAGTTTTTGACTGTCAGTGGAAGATGGCTCCCTTCAGTCTGCAAGGAGATGCGACCCCTGAGCAGAAAGCGTTCTGTGTTCTCCACTTCAATAAGAG